ACCCAGCAAAGATATCCTTCAGAAATGAGGAAATTAGTGTCTTTTTCAGACAAACAAAAACTGAGGGAATTCATCAGACTGGCCCAAATCTGTTTGGTGGTCTTTGAGCCTCTTGTATCCCTTAAGAAATCCTTACAGGAGTCCAACATCAGGAAGCAAAAGGGGAATAACTACCATCATGAAAACAAGGGAAAGAATATAACTGGTTTTGATATACAAGAAAGAGAAAGAAATGAAATCTTAACACTACAGAAAAACCACCAAACTGCAAAAACAAACAATAATAGAGGAACAAAGGATATACAAAATAACCAAAAAACAATTAACAAAATGCCAGGAATAAGGGCACACTTTCCATTGACAACCTTGAATGTAAATGAATTGAATTCTCCACTTAAAAGATATAGACTGGCTTAATGGATTAAAAATCAAGACCCAACTACATGCTGCCTACAAAAAACTCACTTTACCTTAACAATACAGACTAAAAGTAAAGGGATAGAAAAAGATACTTCACACAAATGGAAACCAAAAAGGAGTAAGAGTAGCTATACTTATATCAGGTAAAACAGACTTTAAATCAAAAATTATAAAAAGAGGGCCGGCCCGGTGGTGCACTGCTACAGTGCGCCGCTTGGGAGCGCGGCGGCGCTCCCGCTGAGGGTTCGGATCCCACATACAGACCGGTTCCCACTCACTGGCTGAGCGAGGTGCGGGCATGACACCGAGGGTTGCGATCCCGTTGCCAGTCCCGGTCCGGTACGGGCGCGACACTGAGGGTTGCGATCCGTTGCCAGACACGAAAAAAGACAAAAAGAAAAAAAAAATTATAAAAAGAGACATCGCGACACTGAGGGTTGCAATCCGTTGCCAGACACGAAAAAAGACAAAAAGAAAAAAAAAATTATAAAAAGAGACAAAAAAGGTCAGAGAGAAGAGGAGATAAAGGGATGAATCCAGCAAGAATATATGCCAATTGTAAATATCTAAGCACCCAACATCAGAGCACCCAGACATATATAGCAAATATTATTAGTTCTAAAGCGAGAAACAGACCCCAATACAATAATTTTGGGAACTTCAAACCCCTCTCCCAACACTGGACAGATCATCTAGACAGAAAATCAACAAAGAAACATTGGATTTGAACTGCACTACAGACCAAATGAACCTACCAGACATTTACAGAATATTTCATCCAACAACTGCAAAATACACATTCTTCTCATCAGCACATGGAACATTTTCCAGGACAGACCACATGTTAGGACACAAATCAAGTCTCAACAAATTTTTAAAAAACTGAAATCATATCAAGTATTTTTTCAGATGACAGCAGAATAAAACTAGAAATCAATAACATGAGAAACTTTGGAAACTGTACATATACATGGAAATTAAACAACATGCTCCTGAACAACCAATGAGTCAAAAAAGAAATTAAGAAGAAAATTTTAAAAATCCTTGAAACAAATGAAAATAGGAACACAAAATACCAAAACCTGTGGGATACTACAAAAGCAGTACTAATAGGAAAGTTTATAGCAGTAAGTTCTTACCTCCAAAAAGTAGAAAGATTCCAAATAAACAACTAAATTTGCACCTCAGAAAAATAGAAAAGTAAGAACAATCCATGTCCGAATAAGTACATGGAAAGAAATAATAAAGACTAGAGCAAAACTAAATGAAATAGACAAAAAACAATACAAAAAAAAATCAATGAAACAAAAAGGTTTTTTTGAAAAGATAAACAAAATTGACTAACCATTAGCTAGACTAAGAGAATAAGAAAAAAGACCCAAATAAATAAAATCAGAAATGAAAAAGATATTAGAACTGATACCACAGAAATACAAAGAATCATTAAAGACTATTACGAACATATACCAAAAAATTAGGACACCTAGAGGAAATGGATAAATTTCTGGACACATACAACCTACCAAGACTTAACCAAGAAGAAATAGAAAACCTGAACAGACCAATAAGGAGTAATGATATTGAATCAGTACTCAGAAGTCTCCCAACAAGGAAAAGCCCAGGACTGGATGGCTTCACTGCTTAACTACCAAACTTTTAAAGATGAACTAACATGAATTCCTCTCAAACTATTCCAAAAATTGAAGAGGAAATTCTTCCAAACTCACTCTATGAGGCTAGAAGAATCACCTTGATACCAAAATCAGATAAGGACACAACAACAAAGAAAGTTACAAGCCAATATACTTGATGAACATAGATGTAAAAATTCTCAACGAAATACCAGCAAACCAAACATAATAGCAGTCAAAAAGGTTACACACCAAGATCCAGTGGGATATGGGAATTGTTTTCCACAATCATGTTTGGAATTAAATGTGCTAAGATTTATCTACTGTACAAAACAACATGTTTATAAAATGATAGAGAATATGAAGTGAAACATATGAACCTTATTTTAATTGTTTGTACTAGAATGTAGGATCATTCTGAGGTTAATATTATCATTCTGGTTTTTCTTTAAATGGTATTCAATCAGTCCATAAAAGGTAAAACCATATACTAGCCAAAGAGAGAATATCAAACCAAGTTTAATAACATAAACATGTAAGTCAAGCCAGTTGCTACTGCAGTTCTTGTACTACATAACTTAGTTACTGGAAACTAGTTTTTCCTTCCTGATGGTATCTGACATAGGCTGAACCCAACCAGAAGTAAAAGGCATGGGAACCTGTGGTACGTACAGGCTAGTCTCCAAAGACACAGAACAAAAGGCAGGAAAAAACTGGTTGGAAAATGGATTTCACAGGAGAAGTGCACCAAACAGAGCATAACCAATGCAGAAAGAAGATTCTGGAATGGAATGGCAAGGTGCAGCTGGGCAGGTTTGCTTTGAACTACCCCAACCCCTCATACTCCAAAAGCTTCCTGGTCGATCAGCACAATTTTGAAAAATCTCACTCACACACCTCACATATGGAAGGTCATAAACTGAGTTGGTATCATATCTTTTTTCCTCTTCTGCCAGAGATGTACGGGAAATGTTTATAGGGTAGAAGTGAGTGCAACTGGCGAAAGCAAAAAATACCATGTCTCTCTCTAAAATGTATATTACAGGTCTATTTACTAGTAGAAAGTCTACCTAACATGTTCCCCCCATAAGAATTAGGCACAGTCTTCTAGTAGAGGACTGGACTCTAACAATAAACTTATAACAAAATCTCAGAAAAAAAGGGCTCAACCCAGCTGAATAACTACTGTCTATTCCCTACTCACATCCTCAATGCATCCACTATAAACTCTCTAAACATAAAATAACGGAAGTTTAGAACTATGATTCTGTTTAGTACAACCTCATTCACTTCATAGACAAAGGAAATGAAACCCAAAGAGGCTGAACTATTTTCCCAAAGTCACCAATTTCCTAAGAAGCAGAAAGGAAATTAGAATCTACATTAGCTAAATAAGGCCAGTACTTTATCTATTCCATTGTACCATGCTTACCATTAGATGTTTTGTTTCTAATTTAAATCAGACTCATTAGAGAATTCCTGACCTAAATACTTTTCTTGTATGGTTTTAGATCTCTAGCCTCATACTTCTTTTCATGTTTACTAAAACTCCTCACAATGTTAACTGTCTCCGAAAGAGCTCCTTGAACTTGTAAATATTTTTTTAAAGTATATTAACTAGAAAACAATTTATCTAAATTGCAAGCTGTGTAAACTAAATCACTCAGATATATCAAAATACTTAAAAGTCACAAAATGAAAAATGTATTCATTACTGTTCTCTTAATCAGCTCTTCCTGACCTAAGAAATTTATCATTATAACTGCAATCTCAAGGATATGTGTATTAAAGAAACAAAATATTATTTGATGTCACAGTGGTCAAGCATTATAAATCTGTATCACTTTTTAAAACCCTCAGTTTATCTGGAATAAAAATGTCCTTCACTTTCATAAATCCTATAGATCAAATTCATCTCACTTGTTTTTGAAATAAAGTTACAAAAAGTAGCACACTGTGACAGTATCAATCATATCTGATGAGTTTTCTTTTGGAGAGGGTAGAGTTAAGGTGACTGGCTGAAGGTGGAGAACCTTTCTATGTAGTGTGTAGAAATCAAGACCTTTCTATGAGCCTATTGTGAATAACAAATAACTAAGAATGACTTTAGTTCTCCTGAGGAAATACAACTTTCAAAATAACCACAATATGGCTATTATTAAAGTTTTTTCATAACTTTTTCACATTAAGCTGCCAATGATTCATAATAAGACCAAAAGTAATCACTGCCAGCAATTTAGATTCTATAATTTATATGTAAGTGCAAAGGCTGATAATAGCTCAAACATTTCTGAAAAAGAAGGATCTAGTGGGAGCACTTGAAACTACCAACTATCAAAATTCACAGTGAGTAATTAGGACAAGGTAGTATCAGCAAGGTTACATAATTTCAGAATAAAAAGCTACTACAGAAAGACATGGACATAGGAACATGATACATGACAAAGACGGGAAAAGGATTACTTTTCCTTAACTGACATATATTAGTGTGATGGTTAATTTTATGTGTCAACTTGGCATCAAGTATTAGTGAACAGAAGAGAATAAAAGTTTTCGCCTCAATCAGTAAGACATCAATAGAGAAAATTACTTCGAAGCGTCACTTGTTAGATTTGTTCCAAGACCCCCAGAGGATGCCTGAAACTGCTATATATATATTACGGTTTTTTCCTATACATACATACCTATAATGAAGTTTAACTTATAAATTAGGCATAGTAAAAGATTAACAACAATAACTAATAATAAAATACAACAATCATAACAATAAACTATAATAAGTTATGTGAATGTGGTCTCTCTCTCTCTCTCTCTCTCAAAATATCTTAATATTTATGTACTGTGGTTGACTGTGGGTAACCAAAACCATGGAAAATAAAACCACACATAAAGGAGGACTACTGTGTATATACATCTTAATTCAGGATGTAAGAAATATTTCAGATATACCTGTATGCTGCCGAACTCAACATTCTCATAATGGAAATGTGCACATTCAGCCATCTTCGGAAAGTGACCCTTAGTGAAAGGTAACCTGAAGTACATAAAAATAAACATGAAACAAGATAATGGAATAGTCAGAATTACTAACTGTAAGGGGAAAATACAATGGGTTTAAGAGATCATGCATGCAACAATATTTAAAAAGCACATGCACATAAACCACATATATCAACACCAAACCCTTTCAGAAATAAACTGAATCAAATGAATATTACATTTAGTGCACAAATCTGAACCAAAAATAAAAAATTGAAAAGCATCATTATATTCTCCTAATCTCAACCCACGTCAGTGCCCATAGGAAAAAACTGTACTTCTGGCGAATGTCATGGAAATTGATGGTGAACAGCCAGTTTCTAACCAGAAGCAGCATTCCTAACACAAAGTACAAGACCACATTTTACCTGTGAATGTTGTCACAGCCCATCAGTCCTGGAGTGGTAGACCTGGATGCAGAATGAACATTTTTACCTTGCCTTTCCTCAACTTACATGAAACATAGCTATCTAACCTTTCACCAAGTGAAAAGATAATTTTTCTGTTAAAAACTGAATGGGATACCTTCAGGTATTTCAATTAACAGTCAACTCTTCACATTTATCTCAGGCTTCTCAAAGGCAAACCTGAGATCTAGCAATCTCATAACTCAGAGTTACGAGCTCACACATTAAAGACACCAAGAAGGACATAGTTGGATTGTTCCTGTTAAACAAATGCAGCCTAACAGAGAGTGACATAAATTGTTTCCAAAACAAAAATAAAGTATATTTTTAAACACGCAGATAATCTGCAGTCCCACTAAATTGCTGAGTGACAATTTAACACTTAACAGTATAACTTTAATTTAACACTTTAACAGTATAAATATGCACAGTAAGAGCATATTTAGTAAGGAATCTAGTTTTAAGAGAATTAAGGAATTGATTTCTATTTACAGGAATTCTTTAAGAACTTACTCTAAAATTATACTTACTTTTTCACATGTTTAACCTTCATACTTGCTGTACTGCCACAGGTCTTAAGAGAAAGATCTCCAGGAATCTCTGGAACATCTGCTCCTCTTGCCTTAAAAAAAAAAAAAAAAAAAAAATGAAGGCAAAAGATATATTATTATTCTTTAAGTATTAATACTTTTTAAAAAGCAGATTGTAATTCATTGTAATAGTTCTGCTGACTTTGTACCAATAGTAATACATCTTGGTTTTATAATCTCTTCTTAAAATTATAAATTAGTTGAGTTTTAATTATTAAGAATAAGTAAAGGGCCGGTCCGGTGGCACACTGCTACAGTGCACCGCTTGGGAGCATGGCGGCGCTCCCGCCAAGGGTTCGGATCCCAC